TTCGATGATAATATCTCAAGGCAGCCGCCCTTTCTTAAAATAAATAAATCAATCAATCAAAAAGGGGACAAGGAAATTAAATGAATAAAAGGGGAAAAAAGAGGACAGGGGAAAAGGAAACAAAAGGGGAGAAGGAAAAAAAAAGAGTTTTATTATGGGAAACATACATTATTACCAGTATGCAGATACTCGACTCAATGGGACTTCTACAGACTATCTCCGCACCCAACTGCAGCCATGCACATCAATGACTGTCCGTAATTGCCGATATGCAAGAGGCTGCGAACATAGCAGGCACAAACTTACACCCGTACCTACGGCCAAAACTTGGTCGCAACATTGATTGCTTGTCGAGGGAAGCTGCACCAAAAGGATAACAAGAAACAGAAGGGGCAGGATATACACCCAACTTCGCCCAATCGATTTTCTTCGTCTTCTCTTTCTTTTTCAACTTGCAATATATCCATCGTCATTAAAGTTTAGCTTCTGGATTGACCCCCAAAAAAAACCCGGGAGAACTCACCAGCTGAAGAAGTCCAAATGTGAAAACACACCTGTAGGCTGTAGCAAGACCGTCCCAGATCTGATTAACACATCAGAAAGAAGGACACACGTCGGAAATTTTAATAAGACATGTCATGTTCGAAAGACGTCTTTCTCGATGAAGCGGCCCTGATAAATCCGCCTCAGATCATACTCGTAGCAGAACTTTTTGCACTTCCGTATGAACGTAATACAAGTTGAATGCATTATGTCCAGGTCTGGAAAGCACTCATCGACATTGGTGTGAATATTCTCTCAGTTACAGAACACATGAAGTAAACTGCTGGAATAGAGATCTGAATTCGAATCCAGTAGGAGGTAGTCGAGTTCGGAAGGCGCTCTACCAATTACAAATAACCCGGAGTCTTGCAGGCGCACCTCAAATATCATCATCACAAGTTGAATGCATTATGTCCAGATCTGAAAAACAGCCATCGACATTGGTGTGAATATCCCTTCAGTCACTGAACATATGAAATGTACTGTAATAAAGATCTGAATTCGAATCCAGTTGGAGGTAGTCAAGTTCGGAAGGTGCTCTACCAATTAGAAATAACCTGGAATCTTGCACACGCACCTCAAATATCACCTTGGAAGTCCTCAACCTTGCTGCTCACCTCATGGTACGCCCATCAATAAGATGAGTAAAATCAAGACGAATCTTCCAGATGCAGCTTGCATTGAGATGCATCACAACAGTTCTTCCCAAAAAGAAAGGAGAACGGATAACAAATACACCAACAGAAAAGGGGGGGGGAGAGAAAGAGAGAGAAAGAGAGAGAGAAAGAAAGAGAGACAATTTCTCTTGCCTACTTAACATGCTGGGTTTAATCTGGTTTGTCGGCTCAGATTTGCTGGCAGGGGACTGACTTTTTACAACTTTTTGAGCTCCGGTTTATATGTACTGGTATATCACCTCAAGCCCATCCCACACAAGACAAGCCTGTGCCGACATGACCGCAATTAGAGCACAGCAATCAGACGAGAAGCTGCAGCGTTAACCTAGTAAGGCCAGGGAACCGAATATAGGCCGAGAGGGGTAACAGTGGTTTAACCCGGGTTGCAGTTCCTCATCAATGAGCTGTCACAGATTGTTTCCTCGGGGTATCACAAACTCATCAACAGACTGAATCATACCTACTTATGTACGTATATGAAGATATGCATACTCTAATAACTCTATGACACCACATATATATATGCAAGCAGGTACCCCAACAACAACTACGCTCAAGCGCGGGGCAGACCGTGGATACGACGACCTCCAATGACTTCTGATGCGAGAAGCAGAAAACAAAGTAAAGACAGGACATGGAGAGAATCCTGACAAAGGAGAAACGAAGGAGAGGCAGCTAATGGCATGCTCGTTACCACGAGGTGTACGCAGAGAGAAGGAACATAGGGAAGAGGTGAACAGGAGCAATGGTAAAAGGACTAGATGGCCGCAGAGAAAGGAAGACAGAAGAACAGAACAGAGGATAGGGGAAGGAAAAGCCGTAAGAAGCGAGGAGGACGAAGAGGGATTGAAGGAAATGAAAGGAAAGGAAAAGGGACGAAAGGAGAGGGGCGGACCGAAAGGAACAGGCTGGGAAAGGAAGCAAGGGGCAGGGAGCAGCCAGAGGGAGCGTGAGGATGCGGAATAAAAGGAACGAGACGAAAAGGGAGGAAAACAGTACCAAGGAGAGGAGAAAGAATATCAGCAGGAGAAGGAGGAGAGGAGTTGAGAGAAAAGGTAAGTGCTCGGTCGCCAGATGCAAGTCCGGCGGGAAAAGACAAAGCAGCAACTGCTCGATTGCGTGAAAGATCGCCAACTGTAGTCTGAAGTCTGCATCCTTAGGGCATACTCATACTCAGGACATACTCAACTGGATTTGACAATAATTATGGTCAAACGAGTCTGACAAAGTGCCCCGCCTGCATATGCACGTTATCTTCCCACCCATAGCGAGTGACAAAGTGGAATGAAACATACTTGCTAATAAATGACGCCCGTCCATCGACGCATCATGTCCGTTATGATAACAGCAAACAACGGCCCCATAATCTAGTCTCTCGTCTTCCCATCTGTAGGTACCGCACTGCCACGAGAAGAGCACTCAAATTCGAATTCAAAAGCGAAGCTTAACGGACAGGTGAAATTCGAATTCAAAAGCGAAGCTTAACGGACAAGTGATCATAACGGGACTCTTATTTGCAATCAGCACTACAATAAACTGTCGCCCCTGCTGACGGTCATTGCTTCAAAAAGTTGAAGAAACGAAGACCGACGGATAACACCAAACGACCATAAGATATTTCCAATATACTCTTGATTGACTACAAAACTGCTGAACTTTACCTAGAGGCTTAGTTGTCGGATGTATCGACTTCGCAGTTGGAGACTTCAATACAGTTCCCAGAGATCTCTGTGTTGCACACATAGGCTTATAGTCTTCTGCCTCTCCGACTCTCTTTCTCTCACTTCCTCCTTAACCTTCGTCGGCGAGTACCAACATCGTGGAAAACTGCACATATTATTACGACAATGAGTCTCTTAGCACATCAAAGGAGATGGACAGGGTCGTGCAGAGGTCCTCGATAGGGGATGGCCAACACTCACTGAATTACCATGCAACAGACACAAAAACAAGCAAAAAAACAAAAAAAACAAAAAAAAAGGAGACATCCAAAGGAGACATCGAAAGTTGTTTGGAGTTCGTTCTTACACAAAAACACAAAAAAACAAACACATTAAAAACGACATATCCAACCTCTGTTTGTCTGTGGGGTCTGGGAAAACGGTTTGCGGGAGAAATGTCACCTTCCGCAGGCTGTGGGGTCCTGGAAACAGTTTTGCGGCAAAGTTTTTCCTCTCCGCGGTCCTCTGGGGTCCAACTCTAAAACATCTCCACGACAACACTTACTGTGTCATCACGTAACAGACCAAGAAACAAAAAAAAAAAAAAAAAAAAAAAAAAAAAAAAAAAAAAAAGTAAAAAGGAGACATCCAACCTACGTTTCCCCACATTAGACGAAAGACCTCCACACAAAGTGGGAGTGAGTATCGTAACCAGATTCGATTCCTTCGCACCTCAGGTTTTTTTTTCCCCCCCTTTAGCTGCATATATGCCTACGGTTTACCGGGCAGTTCTATTTGACGATATATATATATATATATGCATATATAAATTTATATATTCAAACAGAGCTGCCCAGTAAACCGTAGGCAGAGAGGGAGAAGAGGACAACAAACGAGGGGCTGTGACAAATGTTTTTGTATACCCTTGAGGCTGCCCCAGTTAGATCTCGGCGTTGGGGCCTGCCTACATCTCGGCGCCGTGGGACTCGGCGTTGGGGTCCGCCTAAGTATCGACTGAGCCTAAATGTTTTGGTAACCGCCGGCAGGTCGAGAGGCTCAGTCGATGTTTAGGCGGGCCCCAACACCAAGTCCCACGACGCCGACTACATCTCAAATTTCAGCCCTGTAACTGGTGCCCTGATCTACCCAATGGCAACGACGGGAACTCTCGGCGCGCAATCGTAGATCCTTGCGTCAGTGAGCGCGCAACCGCAGATGACAGGAATGCTACTGCAGCTAGAGCACAACCGTAGGCCCTTACAAGGCGTAGAACAAGAATTTTCATTGGTGGACTTCACTACCGGGTCCCAGCTTGGGACCCGGACTGCAGGACCTGAAAAAATTGGCGCCAACAGCACTGAGCAGGGATCACTGAGCTGCAGAATAGGAAGAATAACTTACTGCGGGTTTGTAGCCAGATCGCTAAGTGGAGCTATATTTGTCGAGGGCTGCTCCAGTGAAAGCATCTTTGCTATTTGCGGAGTTGCCGACGGCCCAAGCAGCACGTTGGGCACTGGAACTCCGCCGCTTGACTGAGCAAGTGTTAGCGCATGAAGGTACCTGCGGCAAAGCATTTTTTCGAAGTTTAGTCGGCGTGTGAATCTTCTCCTCTTTGCTATTTCAGGCTAAGGCTTGAAATTCGAAGGCTGCTACCGAGGTGAGTTCCATTTTCCTTTCACTCCGACGAGGACGCACGGATTTGGATTGAACTCACCTGGTGATGGCGCAGGTACCTCTTGAGCTCCTTGAACTGCGGGACATCGTTTTGGTAATTAACTATTCATGAGAGACGCAAGGTCGGTTAACGGCTATGATCTGATAAGGTTGATCTGATAAGGTTGGGTGGAAGATAGCGAGGCATTAGGTCTGAGGATACCCAAAAAAAAAAAAAAAAAAAGCCATAGCTATTGCGGGTCGGAGAGTAGGGTTCGGGGATAGATACCGAAAGAGGCGAGCAGTCTAGACTGCGTTTGAATAGAATTCTGCTCCGAGTAGGAGGAATATGAGATAGATCTAGCCGGAACTAAGTCGGGAGGATTAGCCCCTATAGATTCTAATGCGAACGGGCAGTGATTGGGTGGTGGAATAGACCAGTTGCGTCGAAACGCCGCGAGACGGCATAAGGTGGGGAGTCGAGGAGTTCGGCGATTCAACCGATTGCGGTGGCGCGTCATCCCGAAGTCGAACTCGGGTACTTGGCGACTACTTAATGGAAGGAACCTTGCGGGAGAAGAGGCGCATCAAGGACGGCGGAGGCCGCCCGTCCAATATGCCTTCACCTCCTTCCGAGTGCTTCACGAAAGAAGCACTCGAAAGTTGGAAGGAGGTGATAATCGGCGATGGCGACCGCTCCGTAGGGCGTAGCAATCCGATGACTTTTAGCAGTAGGCTAAGGGATTTCCTAGTTATGGACTTGGCCGAAGGGACTCTCTCCCGGCCTGAGGACGCCGGATTATTAGAAGGGTGGGGCCTCACTAGGGTTAAGGCTATGGTAAAACACTTGCCTTGGGTGGAAGAGACTTCGAAAGAAGATCTGGCTGCCGCCTATCTCGGGGCAAGAAGTCTTTGGTACTTCGAAGAAGAGAGGGAAACGTGGGTGGTAGACAAGGGATTTTGGGTGAGGGCCAGGGACGATTGGCTTTTAGGTCATATCATGGCTTTCTCGATGTTCTCCGAGATTCACGGGGAAAGGATAGGGAGATTACCAATCAAGAAAATCGAAGGATTAAGGGAGATAGTGAGGGAAGTTTCGAAGGCGCACTTTCCCGAGAGGAGGCGTGCCTTCGCGACGCTTGACATTTTGATGGGAGCCCCTCAGATTATCAATCATTGCCGTCATACGATGGCGGATCTGGTGACGGGCCTTCGGAGGGAGCGAGAAGGGAGAAGCGATGGGGGAATTTTGAAAGAGTTTCTGACTGAAGCGACGTAGCACTTGCGTTGTCACCTTTTGGATGCCACTATTCGGTTGTGCAAAGGGAATGAAACATGGATGATTACGAGGATTGTACGGAGGGTGAAGAGAACTGTGAAGTTCGAAAATCGGGAGAATGGGCGATGGTTTATCAACCTGACTGAGGAAGGAGGGGAGACTAAGAACCGAGGACGAGAGGTTGATTCTGATGAAGAATCGGACTACGCCCTCGAAGTTGAAGATCTACAGGATTTGGAGGGAGAATTCGGAGAGGATCCGTCCAGTCTGAAGTGGGTTCAGGCGCAGCTGTAGCATTGGGGGAGTGCCACACTTCGGCCAATCAGCGCCAAGCAGTAAGAAAGGAAGGATCGCGAAGGAGGCAGCCGACAACCCACGGATCTCACGAATGGCGGGGATTCTCTAGGGTACAGGCGTTGCCACCAGATCAACTTTCTGTACGCGCCGACAGGCGCGCGGGAATCCCCGAACGACGAAGTGCGCGATTTGCGAATCGTCTGCGCCTGCTGTGTAGAATTGGGCAGAGAATCCGGTTCTCTTGAAATCAATGGTGTAAGGCTATGGCTCGATTTAAAAAAAAAAAAAAAAAAAAAAGTTCTAATTTATATGCTGAGTTGGCTCAATTGTCGATTTCTGATTAAGAGGAGCAGTTCGAAATTATTGTCCGACCTTGTCTAGGCATTTTAGGTAAGCCCCATCTCAGGGATCTCTCTCGAAGATGCGCCGAGCTGTTTGTCAGTTGTTGGCAGGACCCGACCAAATGATCTTCATCCGTTTAAATTTGTCGTTTTCGACCGATTGGAAAACGGCGCCACATGGCTCATACGCTGAATAACCGCCGCAAACGAATCAGGAGTTAGGATGGGCGCGAAAGTTGCCAACGCAATGCAGAATGCGCCCCAAGAATAGATGCGGGCCAGACCTCAAAGATCCGGATTTGTGAGGCGGCATTCAGTTGCGTAGCCAAGCGTATTCAAATTCATCAGCCCGTCTCAAGCGTTAAAGGAAGAAGCTCCTTCGCAGCCAAGGATCTGCTGTTAGGAGTAGGTAGAGTTATACCAGGTCATGTTTTGTCTTTACGAATCAAGTGGATAGCGAGTTACTTACCTCACGGCCATCTTGTCGTCTGAAAAAAAAAAAAGAAAAAAAAAAGGGGGGTGATAATTTTAAGAGGTCCAGTTATGGATTGCGCTCCAATCAAGCTCGGAAGTTTTATAGGCGCGACTTTTCCCTGGAGTGTCGTTGAACCATTTTAATTCGTTATTCCCGGGGCGAAGGAGCATCCGCTCTAATCATATCCACCTGTTTTGTTTGCGCGATCGTTTCCAAAGCCTTTGGACTTATTGGACTGTTTTGTGCCACGATGGAATGATCGCAGGGACTATCTGAGCTGTCGTTTTGTTGGTTTCATACCAGGTGGAACAACCCATTTTGTTTTTTCGCAATCTCTTTTCGGAAGTCGTCTGATTTTTATCTGCTTGGTCGTAATTTGTCGCTTTCAAATTCCTATCCTACATTGCATAGAGTACACGTACAGGGGCTTCCCGTACGAAATGTACAGGTTATTCTTGTACGGGATCTATACTGGAACCTGTACGGGAACCTGTACGTCTTGTACGCCCCCGTACGAAAAAGCAAAAAAAAAAAACAAAAAAAAACAAAGTCATAAAAAAACTCCGAAAAAAAACTATGTGATGAAAAAACACAAAAGAAGCAACATTTGGCTGAGCATCATCTTCA